GACATAACTATTCTGCTCTGAGATTTCAGTCCTCAGGAGCACTGACACTTTGCTGCTTAAGTGAAGGAACAGATGTCTGAATTAAAAGTACAGTACTGAATCTCAGTTAAAAAGCTCTCAATTAAAAAAAAAATCTGATTAAAGATAGTAGCTATCTGGAGTTCTCCTCTAGCAGTTGTACTTTGTGCCTATGTGAAGTTAGCATAAGATTGATCCTCAAGATATTTAATGTTGAGATATGTAAAAAAAAAAATCACCTTTTCTTGAATATGCTGCAACATAATACAAAGCCTTGACCTTTTCAAGGACACTCATGCTCTCACAAAGTGTTCTAGGCCATAGTGACTAAAATACATGTTTCACAGATTTAATGTGGCAATTATTCTGCTGGCTGGTATACAGGCCTCAGTTTAAGTGGCATTTGTTTCCTTCTCTTTGGGAGTCCACGACAACAATAAGTCACCCCATCCAAATATTCATTTTAAACCTGACTAGTCCCAAAGGAAGGATTGGCTCTGCAAAAAGCAGATCTCTTTTGTGAGATAGGAACATCTAAAGACCCAATGATATGATAACTAGACCTGAGAACAGCACTTTCATCCAGAAAGGCACAAATAATATTATTGCTGTTATCTCATTCTTAACTTATGTATTGTCCTGTGGAACAGTGGAAATGGTGGGAAGGCATACAGGAAGGACTTTGTCCAACTTAGCAAGATGTCACGCACCACTTCACTTCCAGAGAGGCCTCAGGGCACTTATTTACTATTTCCAGGTACAAAGAGGCTGATCATTTGTCCACCAAACTGACTTAAATTTCAGAAGTTATTTTTAGGTCTAGAAGCCACTCTGACTCTGCCAGTCTGACTTTTGCCGTATGTAAATCTTGATGTCCACTGCTTCCTTGATGGGCAGTATAAAGAGAGAGGAAAATCTGTTACACCCAATTCTCTCTAGGATAGAGCTGGTTGTTTTCTTCTGTGGATTATGAAAACCTATCAGTGACATTAACTGTCATGACCCAAACAGGTCTGTTATCCATGGAAGGAGCAATGCTCTGATGTTAAAAGTCTGGTCAGTGGTGCAGCAAGGCTACAGCAGGTTCCCTACTTGCCATAGCTCTGCACAACTCCCTGTAATTACATGCAGCCAGGAGACTCTGCACACTGCCTCCATCCCAAGTGCCTGCTCTGCAGTTCCTCTCCCGCATTTCTCATTTTGGAACCCACCACAGAGCCCACACCCTCATCTAGAGCCTTCCAGTTCCAGTCATGAGCATCACCAACCCAATCCCTGATAAAAATGAGCAACTGAGGGCGCGGAGAGTGAGAAATAGAAGGATGGAGTGAGTGAGGGCAGGGTCTCAGAGAAGGGGTGGGGCAGAGGTGGGGCTTGGAATAAGGGCAGGACAATGGTGTTCGGTTCTGTGCAAGTAGAAAGTTGGCAACCCAAGCCCTTTTCACACAGCCAGCTGCGATAACTAGTGAGGCATTATGTTTCCTGCTTCCCCACTTACAAAGGGCCTTCTTTTTGCCTCTAGTTTTTTTTCAAACTTAGTTTGCATCTTGAAACTTTCAGAGGCACCATCCACAACAAACACCTAAGAAAGGGAAGCAGAGCTGAGGAGACAATTGTCCCCAAAATCAAGTGCAGTCCTGGGACATGATTGGGAATAAGACAGAAACATTCCTGTGGCCAGGTGTTAGTCCACAATTTTGAAAAAGTCAGGAATTTTCCATAGAAAAGCTCTCTGACAGAGGGATGGCAAAGATGCTGATCCCTGAAGAGAACACCAGGACACACAAAGTATTCCCCTGCTGCCAATGACTAACAGGATTCGTTCAGCCTGAATGTGCAAGCAGGCTGAAGAACCCACTAAAATAGGTCTATAGATTTTGCACAAAGTAGTAGTATTTTTGTTAATTGTTTTCTCACATCTGAATCTTTAGTTTTAAAGAAATGTACTGAGATTATGTATTTGTGAATTCCATGTAAAATGACCACTGACACTTGTAGATACATATCTATGCTATATATGCATTTTCTAATCATATGAGATCTAAAAGAATTCCACTACTGTGTTCTTACCTCTCTTCTGGTTCCAGTCATGAGCATCACCAAGCTGAGCAACATTGTATGTATATCCATCTTGCTGTCGAAAATAATCATCAGTGCTGAACACCACGCCATCATGATTTTGACCAAGTAAAATACTATCAAACAAAGGAAAACACAAAACCATTATAAATAAGCCAAATCTTATTCCTTAGACTGTAAACAATGAAGTAATATAGGAAAGTTTAAGGCTGTACTATTTTTGATTTTCAATACCTTCAGTTTGGCAGCTAAAAGAAATTCAATTTCCAACCCAAAATTAAATATTTTCTTTTCTCTCCATTGCTGACTTATTTGCCGATTTTACTCCCTTCCCTACTTTTGGCCTCAATTGGAGAATTGTGTCCAGTTCTGGGCACCACATTTAAAGAAAGATGTGGAGGAATTGGAGAAGGTAAATTGTAATTAATAGCAACAAACACAAATACTTGAAAGTCAATTCCATCTCTATTCTTCATGATCCATTTGTCTCCACAGTGGTTCAGATCTGTGGACTTTATTATTGAAGAAAGAAAATTTTCAAGTAAGCATGGATAAATTTCCTATTCTTGGTGCATAGATTGACAGATCCATTACAGTGAGATTTTCATAACAGTGTCCTATCACAATGGGTACCAGGAATGTGCTTTAAAAAGTGACATAAAAACAAGGTAAATTATATAAATATTGCTTCCATCTTTCCTTGGGTACTAAAGTATGGAGAAAATTTCTGCACAAAGAAAGGAAAAGGCATTGGCTAATACTGGATGACCAAATATTCAGTATATAGTAAAGTCTAGCAAATCTCAACAGCAGAGACATAACTATTCTGCTCTGAGATTTCAGTCCTCAGGAGCACTGACACTTTGCTGCTTAAGTGAAGGAACAGATGTCTGAATTAAAAGTACAGTACTGAATCTCAGTTAAAAAGCTCTCAATTAAAAAAAAAATCTGATTAAAGATAGTAGCTATCTGGAGTTCTCCTCTAGCAGTTGTACTTTGTGCCTATGTGAAGTTAGCATAAGATTGATCCTCAAGATATTTAATGTTGAGATATGTAAAAAAAAAAAATCACCTTTTCTTGAATATGCTGCAACATAATACAAAGCCTTGACCTTTTCAAGGACACTCATGCTCTCACAAAGTGTTCTAGGCCATAGTGACTAAAATACATGTTTCACAGATTTAATGTGGCAATTATTCTGCTGGCTGGTATACAGGCCTCAGTTTAAGTGGCATTTGTTTCCTTCTCTTTGGGAGTCCACGACAACAATAAGTCACCCCATCCAAATATTCATTTTAAACCTGACTAGTCCCAAAGGAAGGATTGGCTCTGCAAAAAGCAGATCTCTTTTGTGAGATAGGAACATCTAAAGACCCAATGATATGATAACTAGACCTGAGAACAGCACTTTCATCCAGAAAGGCACAAATAATATTATTGCTGTTATCTCATTCTTAACTTATGTATTGTCCTGTGGAACAGTGGAAATGGTGGGAAGGCATACAGGAAGGACTTTGTCCAACTTAGCAAGATGTCACGCACCACTTCACTTCCAGAGAGGCCTCAGGGCACTTATTTACTATTTCCAGGTACAAAGAGGCTGATCATTTGTCCACCAAACTGACTTAAATTTCAGAAGTTATTTTTAGGTCTAGAAGCCACTCTGACTCTGCCAGTCTGACTTTTGCCGTATGTAAATCTTGATGTCCACTGCTTCCTTGATGGGCAGTATAAAGAGAGAGGAAAATCTGTTACACCCAATTCTCTCTAGGATAGAGCTGGTTGTTTTCTTCTGTGGATTATGAAAACCTATCAGTGACATTAACTGTCATGACCCAAACAGGTCTGTTATCCATGGAAGGAGCAATGCTCTGATGTTAAAAGTCTGGTCAGTGGTGCAGCAAGGCTACAGCAGGTTCCCTACTTGCCATAGCTCTGCACAACTCCCTGTAATTACATGCAGCCAGGAGACTCTGCACACTGCCTCCATCCCAAGTGCCTGCTCTGCAGTTCCTCTCCCGCATTTCTCATTTTGGAACCCACCACAGAGCCCACACCCTCATCTAGAGCCTTCCAGTTCCAGTCATGAGCATCACCAACCCAATCCCTGATAAAAATGAGCAACTGAGGGCGCGGAGAGTGAGAAATAGAAGGATGGAGTGAGTGAGGGCAGGGTCTCAGAGAAGGGGTGGGGCAGAGGTGGGGCTTGGAATAAGGGCAGGACAATGGTGTTCGGTTCTGTGCAAGTAGAAAGTTGGCAACCCAAGCCCTTTTCACACAGCCAGCTGCGATAACTAGTGAGGCATTATGTTTCCTGCTTCCCCACTTACAAAGGGCCTTCTTTTTGCCTCTAGTTTTTTTTCAAACTTAGTTTGCATCTTGAAACTTTCAGAGGCACCATCCACAACAAACACCTAAGAAAGGGAAGCAGAGCTGAGGAGACAATTGTCCCCAAAATCAAGTGCAGTCCTGGGACATGATTGGGAATAAGACAGAAACATTCCTGTGGCCAGGTGTTAGTCCACAATTTTGAAAAAGTCAGGAATTTTCCATAGAAAAGCTCTCTGACAGAGGGATGGCAAAGATGCTGATCCCTGAAGAGAACACCAGGACACACAAAGTATTCCCCTGCTGCCAATGACTAACAGGATTCGTTCAGCCTGAATGTGCAAGCAGGCTGAAGAACCCACTAAAATAGGTCTATAGATTTTGCACAAAGTAGTAGTATTTTTGTTAATTGTTTTCTCACATCTGAATCTTTAGTTTTAAAGAAATGTACTGAGATTATGTATTTGTGAATTCCATGTAAAATGACCACTGACACTTGTAGATACATATCTATGCTATATATGCATTTTCTAATCATATGAGATCTAAAAGAATTCCACTACTGTGTTCTTACCTCTCTTCTGGTTCCAGTCATGAGCATCACCAAGCTGAGCAACATTGTATGTATATCCATCTTGCTGTCGAAAATAATCATCAGTGCTGAACACCACGCCATCATGATTTTGACCAAGTAAAATACTATCAAACAAAGGAAAACACAAAACCATTATAAATAAGCCAAATCTTATTCCTTAGACTGTAAACAATGAAGTAATATAGGAAAGTTTAAGGCTGTACTATTTTTGATTTTCAATACCTTCAGTTTGGCAGCTAAAAGAAATTCAATTTCCAACCCAAAATTAAATATTTTCTTTTCTCTCCATTGCTGACTTATTTGCCGATTTTACTCCCTTCCCTACAATAGCAACTGAGCACCTTCCAAATCTTTTCATGTATATATTCTCACAACACTTCTTGGCAGGATTACTCCCATCTTGCAGGTGGGTATTATGGAGGACAGTCTCACAGAATATCTGTGGCAGAGTTAGTAACTGAATTGGGTCTCCTGAATCAGAGTCCAGCATCCTAACCACTAGACCAGAGGTTCCCAACCTTTTCCAGATGGGGACTCATTTTGACAATTCAGGAAGGCTTGGTGACCCAAGGCAATTCAAAAGGGGTGGAGGGGAGGAAGGAGAGAGAGGCAGTGCAGTAATTAGCTAATTTTGCACCATAGGCAAGAATATAAAATTTTGCCCCCTCCTGTTTATTTATTTATAGTTATTTCACAGGAAAACTGAAAATACACCAATAATAAAATAACAACACTACATTTATTTGAGTTGTGGTGGGGGAAAGACACTCATCCCCAAACCGCTCCCCTCCCCCAGCTTAAACCCCACACTCAAAGGCTGGGGCGGGGTTGGAGGGCCTGAGAGTCATACTTAGGGGCTGGAGGGGCTGGGAGTCTCACAGTCAGGGGTCTAGGGGACACATTCAGGAGCCTGAGAGTCACATTCAGGGGCTGGGAGTCACACACTCTGGGCCTGGGAGTCTCACAGGTGTTACAAAAATATTAGAAACATAATACATATTATTCAAAAAAACAAGTAAAATTTAGTATTTTACCAGTTCAGCTGTACTTAAATTAATGGGATGGTTGAGCTTGCATTTACTTTGCTACCTGTTGTATCTTTGGAATTGTTGTGTCACCCTGCAGCACAGTCCCAGCCTCTCCCCCACAGGCTCCCAAATACAGTCCCAGCCCCTACCCCAGTCCCCCGTGGCTGCAAGCCGGCCAGGACTTGCCCTGGATGGCAAACACGAGCCACAGGAACCCCAGCCAGGGCGGCTGGAAACCTCTCAACCGGATGCCCGGACCTCCCACCCTCACCCCACCTACCTGAGCTGGGCACTGCTTCTTCTCTGCATTCCCTAGCATTCTAACTTATTTCCCCCCATGTCCAGGCATATTTCCTTACTCCAGTGGTCACCAACCAGTAGATCAGGATCCACTGGTAGATCTTGGAGCCTCTGACACGTGATCCTGACTGGTTTGGCCAAGAGGCTATCAAGTGCAGGTACTTCAGCTGCCCCTCCCCCCACCGCTGCGCACCTTCTGCCCTTTGCCTGGGAGCTTTCCCCCCACCCCCCGCCACCCAGGAGCCTCCTGCTTGTGGTACAGAGCAGGGAAGGGAGAGGGGGGCTGCTGATGTCAGGGTGCCCTTTCTTCCACCCTGTATTCTATCTCCACAGAACGAGGAGAGGGGGGCACAGGGCTTGAGATGGAAAGACTTTTTTTTTTTTTTGAAGGAGAAAGTAGTTAGAGACATTGAGGCTAATGGCAATTGGGACAAATTACAACATGGTTTTACAAAAGGTAGATCGTGCCAAACCAACCTGATCTCCTTTTTTGAGAAAGTAACAGATTTTTTAGATAAAGGAAACGCAGTGGATCTAATCTACCTCGACTTTAGTAAGGCATTTGATACAGTACCACATGGGGAATTATTGGTTAAATTGGAAAAGATAGGGATTAATATGAAAGTTGAGAGGTGGATAAGCAACTGGTTAAAGGGGAGAATACAGCGGGTCATATTGAAAGGTGAACTGTCAGGTTGGAGGAAGGTTACTAGCGAAGTTCCTCAGGGATCAGTTTTGGGGCCAATTTTATTTAATCTTTTTATTGCTGATCTTGGCATCGAAAGTGGAAGTGTCCTAATAAAATTTGCAGATGACACAAAGTTGGGAGCTATTGCCAATTCAGAAAAGGATCGGGATATCATACAGGAAGATCTGGATGATCTTGTAAATTGGAGTGATAGCAATAGGATGAAATTTAATAGTGAGAAGTGTAAGGTTATGCATTTAGAGATTAATAACAAGAATTTTAGTTATAAGCTGGGGACACATCAGTTGGAAGTAACGGAGGAGGAGAAAGACCTCGGAGTTCTTGCTGATTATAGGATGACTATGAGCCGCTATTGCGACATGGCCGTGAAAAAGGCTAATACGGTCTTGGGATGTATTAGGCGAGGTATTTCCAGTAGAGATAAGGAGGTGTTAGTGACATTATACGAGGCATTGGTGAGACCCCATTTGGAATACTGTGTGCAGTTCTGGTCTCCCATGTTTAAGAAGGATAAATTCAAACTGGAACAGGTACAAAGAAGGGCCACTAGGATGATCCGAGGAATGGAAAACCTGTCTTATGAAAGGAGACTCAAGGAGCTTGGCTTGTTTACCTTAACCAAAAGAAGGCTGAGGGGGGACATGATTGCACTTTTTAAATATATTAGAGGGATAAATACCAGGGAGGGAGAGGAATTATTTAAGCTTAATACCAATGTGGACACAAGAACAAATGGATATAAGATGGCTAGTAGGAAGTTTAGACTTGAGATTAGACGAAGGTTTCTTACCATTAGAGGAGTGAGGTTCTGGAACGGCCTTCCAAGGGAAGTAGTGGGCAAAAGATCTATCTGGCTTCAAACTTAAACTAGATGGGTTTATGAAGGGGATGGTTTGATGCGATAACATGATCTTGGTAATGAATTGACCATTCATTATCAGTGGGAAATAGGTCAATGGAGGGATGATAGGAATTACTAGAGAACTTTCTGGGTGTCTGGCTGATGAGTCTTGCCCACATGCTCAGGGTTTAGCTGATCGCCCTATTTGGGGTCGGGAAGGAATTTTCCTCCAGGGTAGATTGGCAGAGGCCCTGGAGGTTTTTCTCCTTCCTCTGTAGCATGGGGTACAGATCACAGCTAGAGGATTCTCTGCATCTTGGGGTCTTCGAAGTATTTGAGGGCTTCAATATCTGAGATATAAGTGAGAGGATTATTCTGGGAGGGGTGGGTGAGATTCTGTGGCCTGCACTGTGCAGGGGGTCAGACTAGATGATCATAATGGTCCCTTCTGACCTTAAAGTCTATGAGTCTATGAGACTTTGCTGGCTGCTTTAGAGAGTGGTGCAGGGCCAGAGCAGGGGAAGGCCTGCCTTAGCCCCAATGTACCACCACCCAGGAGCCACCTGTGGTAAACAGTGTCCAGCTGGAGCCAGCTCCCAACCCCTGCCCCAGTCATGTACCCACCTCTACACCCCAAACCCCTGCAGACCCAAACTCTCTTACAGAGCCTGCACTCTGAACCCCCTCCTGCATCCCAACTCCCTGCCCCAAGCTCAGCTCAGAACCCCCTCACACTCCAAATCCCTTAGCCCAAGACCAGAACCTGTGCCCCAACTCTCTGCTCCTGCCTGGTGAAAGGGAGGGAGAATGGAAGGACGGAGTGAGCAGGGGTAGGGCCTTGGAGAAGGGGCACAAAGGAGGCGGGGGAAGGATATTTGGGTTTGAGGTAGATCCTGGATTGCACCTAAATTCAAAAAGTGTTCTTGTGCTTAAAAAAGTTAGAGACCTGTGCCTTACTCTGCTCTGAGTCACTGAAATAGTATTCAATTCAATTGATTGGTTTAACTGCCTGAAGGTTATTAAACCAATTAAGCTGAGTACCACTTCAGGTGAATGGCTCCTTAAAACTAAGCCAGCAGTGGAGCTGACCAGCAGGGGACCTTTTCAAATGTGTGAATGACTCCTTAAGAGCACCACCTGGAGAGACACTTGGCCACCCTTTTGAAATGCAATGGTGACCCATATTTGGGTAGCGACCTATAGGTTGGGAAGCCCTGCACTAGACCATCCTTCCTCTCATTTGTACCTGTGCGGTTCCAGCCTATAGTACCTCACACGTAACCAGTTAACCAATTAAATGGGATTTTACCTCCCCAATCAGAAAAAAGCAGTCATTCCTCCATCAATGTAATACTAAATGTAATCACCACATTATCACTCCCTAATGTAAAAAATTAAATATCTTAATTTTAATAATGAAGAATTTATATTTCATAATTATTTGAGGCATGATATTTTTTAAATTAAAAATAAAACCTTTGCTAATTCTTCTATACATTAAACAGTCTTGGTTTACAATGGTTTAAAAAGCTTTAAAAAACAGACAAAAAACATGAGACTGATTTATATGAATTTCTGCTCTCTTTGTGTTACTCTTCTTTCCTTCACCTGTTCTCTTACTAATCGCATCCTCCTAAACCACCTCATCTTTCTCTCCACTTTAAACGTTTTCTTCTAAAATTTGTCAAATGGATCTGGTCCTTATTACTAATTTTCCCATTACTATTGGAAACCAAATTCACTATAGCCCTTTTCTGTTAAAACAGAACGAATTATAGTTTATAGGGATGAAGAAAAAGAACACACTTCATCAAATAATCATTTAAAAATGTACTAAAATTAAATGGAATATTTTTAATAATTTCTTATTTTAAGAAATCTGAAATCAAAATTAATTTAATAAAAATAACACTATTTTTGAAAAATACAATAATTTAAATACAGCATGTACATTTTCCATTTATTTAAAAAACTTAATTAAGGACCTAAGAAATGGAAATTATTATTTTTTATGAAAGTCATATCATCCCTAAAATAGATACAGGACATCGAGTGTCCTCTGCAGCTCCTGTACAATCTATAAGAAGAATAGAACATACGCAGTTAAGACTTCATTCCACCAACATAACACTATGTAGCCCCAATGAAACCACAGAGGTCTCGTCTGTCTGGGAAGTTCTTTTTAATGGAATAGGACCATCAATAAACATGCATTTTATTTTCACTGGAAATGCTGCTGCAATTTCAAATATGCACATTAGTTATGCAAAAGTAGTTCTGTCTTGGGAAAAACAAACCATTTAGTGTCACTAAAATGTACTAAACACATATTTTTATCTAACATGGTCATGAACTATAGTAATCTAGCCATTACTGAAGATGTCTCCATTTTCATATGAATGATTTTATTCTTTTCAATTTTTAAATTCTGAATAAAGCTAAAATTAGCAAACTTTTTAAAATCTATAAATCATTCTAAATATTGCCTCATCATGCCAAAACGTATTTGTGAATGAGCGAGGTTGATTTATTTCAGCTCAGTTACAGGAACAGAATTATCTGCTACCTCACCAAAGCAATCAAAATTTCAGTTCATGGGCCAGAATACGATTTCTTAATATATTCATATTTATCAAACACTTCTTAAACCCACTATTATTTTAACAAGTTTCCAGTAAACACGGTTAAATGTATATGTACACCCACAGACTTTCTGCCACTACCAATAGGTATCTACAACTATTACTGCCTAACCATATCTGTATCAGTGCATTCTGAGAAATCTAGGCAGCTATCCTATACTGCCTCAAAAGAAGAAAAAGAGTAGACAGAGGATAAGAAATAGAGCAGAGTGTGGCGCATTGTATTCTGGGATGTCCTACAATTCAGAGACCAGGAAAGGAGGTATTAACACAATGCAGTCAACTTGTGAAACTTTGCCAGGAGATTCTGTGAAGGCCAAGACTATAATAGGTTTTAAAAAAGAACTTGATAAATTCATAAAGGATAGCTCCATCAATGTGTTATAAGAAGCACATAGGATCTTTTTCAGGGGGAAAAGGCAATATGCCATATTTATTGCAAATATATCATAGAAATCAGCATATGCATTCATACATACACACTCACACACAAGTCCTTCCTTTTGTTTTAAACCTGTTGCCTATAAATTTCATTTGGTGACCCTCATAGTTCTTGTGCTATGTAAAGGAGTAAATAACACTTCCTTGTTTTCTTTCTCCACACCAGTCAATATTTTATAGATTTCTTTCAATCTACCTTTCTCATCTGTTTTTCAAGTTGAAAATTCCCAGACTTATTCACCTCTCATCGTATGAAAGCTATTCTATACACCTAATCAATTGTTTACCCCTTTTTTCTACATTTTCTACTTTCAGTATATCTTTTTTGAGATCAGTTGACCACATCTGTATGCGACAATCAAGATGTGTGTGTACCATAGATTTATATAGAGGTAATATGATATTTTCTCTTATTATCTGTCCCTTTCTTACTGAATCCTACCATTGTTAGCTTCTTTCTTTCTTTATTTTTCTTTCTTTCTTTCACTGCACATTGAATGAATGGTTTCAGAGAATTATCCACAATTACACCAAGATCTCTCTCTGTGTCTCGCTCTTTCTCTCTCTCTCTTTTTTAATGTTAACAGTGTCAAATCACAGGGCCATGGACTAACAGAATTATGGATTCACCTCAACACAGAGTCGATTAAGGATAGTTTGTTTTATTAGTCTCACTACATCACTGCTACTACAGAGTTATGTTGCTGAATTGTTGTTATACAGCTATTACAGAGTGCACATTAGCAAGCCCTACAGAGCAATGCATATAAGAGTAAAACGCACTTAGAAGACTTACGTCCCTTTTACCGTAGGGAGTCCTATTCCTGATCCTTGCTTCAAGGGCCACAGTTGAAGTGGCTCCAGCTGGGGAATCAAAGGCACCCTCCAAGGTCTAGGTCCTTGGTGAAACTCACATTAGTTATATCACAGTTGTTTACAGACTGTGCGCGTACTGGCTCCGCACCACTCTTAGCATTCTCAGGAAGTTGAAATCAAGGTCAACGTGATTTATTCCTCACTCAGGTGCATGGGCTGCGTCTGATAGGGGCCATCTGGTGTTTGCATTTGCAGGGTACAAGGCTGTACTAGGCTGTGTACTGAAAGGATGGAAATTTCCATCCTGGCCCTCTGCACTACAGGCCCTGCGTATGGCTTCTTATAGGACAAACAGCTATTTACACCCCATCATTTTATATGTATAGTTTGGATTATATTTTCGTGTTATTTTGCATTTATCACCACTGAATTTCATCTGCCATTTCATCAGAGGGGTAGCCATGTTAGTCTGTATCCGCAAAAACGCGTCCTGTTACACCTTATACATGAACAGATTTATTTGGGCATAAGCTTTCAAGGGCTAACTCCTACTTCATCAGATGCAAGGAATAGAAATTACAGAGGTGGGCATAAATATACATATACCAATACCCAAGGCTTGACAAACCCTGGCGAGAGCCACTTGCCAGCCCTGCACTGCGCATGCGCCAGACCAGCACTGCGCATGTGCCAGACCAGCACTGCGCATGCATGAAGCGCCGGTGAATGGGGCGCTCGGAGCGACCGGCTAAAATCTCCTCGCCATGGGCGAGTAGATTCAGCGGTTTGTCGAGCCCTGCCAATACCACTCCATGCATCTGATTAAGTGGGTTTTTGCCCATGAAAGCACATACCCAAATAAATCTGTTATCCTTAATCTGCCATTTTAATGTCCAGTTATCCAGTTCTGTGAAATTCCAATGTAACTCTTTACAGTCTGCTTTGAATGATTTAGTTGGGGTTGGACTTGATGATTTCCTGAGGTTTTTTACAACCCTATAATTCTATGACTTAATTATCTTAAAATATGTTATATCATCTGCAAATTTTGCCAACTCTTCATCCCTTTTCCCAGATCGTTTATAAATATATTTAACAGCACTGATCTCAGGACAGCCTCCTGTGGGACAACACTATTTTACCTCTCTCCAGTCTGAAAACTGACAATTTATTCCTTCTTGAAAACTAGTCAATTCAAATTATTTTAAAAAAATTAAAAGTGGTTTCAGTTCATACAGACTTGAGTCCCTGAGAATTTCTAACTAACATATCTGCCTTAAAAAAGACTTTTCAGTCCCCTTTTGTGTAGGAAAAGCCTTTACTAACAAGTGTGGAAACTGACTGACTACACTGGAAAAACAGTGAAAGTGACTATGCACAAACATTTATTAAATTAATTATGCACAAACGAAACACACCGAAAACAAAAGGCATTCTCTCTAGTCTCTTTCACTTCTACCAATCTAAAATGTTATTTGTAAAATTAAATAATAATAAAAAAAGTTAATACAAATGAGATTTTTAAGTTGACAGTTTCCCATTAATTTTATCAGCATATACGAGCTGTAGTAAGATGAGGGTTTGAAACTTAAGTCCATGTATCGTCAGGAACTGGTCGGGATGCCTGACTGATGACAAGAACACTTCTAATTTTGACAAATTAATATTGGCAGAATTGGAACAAGACATTTTAAGAAAAGAATCTGAAAGACCAGAGGGGGACTAACTTTTATATTATAAGCAATGAGAGTTTCAAGAGTCAGCATAGAGGCATGCATGAGTCACTGGATAGAAGAAAAAATATTTTTAAAACAAATACAAAACAGTTCTCTACGATCATCAATATTCTTACTAAAAAAAAATGTAACAGCTAATAATTACGTTACTAATATTTTCAATATTCACTTTGTACCCCTTCACTGTGTAGCAATTAAAGCCGCAATTATGCAAAGACTTATACATATAAGTAGTCCCACTGAATTCATGAATTCTACTTGTATAAAGCTTTACTGGATCCATACCTAAAACAAGAAATACCTAGCAGACATTTTTAAATAATTTCAATAGATACTTACCGAGACAATGTTGTTTTCCCTGAGCCAGGCAAACCTCTTAAAATCAGAAGTAATTTCTGTGACCTACATAACTTATCTTCTGAAAATTGCTGTAAATAAAAATGATGTCCTCCCTCTATCTGGTAACTTCTAGGATTTTTCCAACATTCTTTTCCGGTTTCACAGAAACCATTATTCATGCATCCATCTTCATTGCTATATCCATTTCTAGAGACTTGCACACTATGGATGCCAATATGAGCAGCAGAACTATTATTTTGTTCCAACGATGGACAGCTCCTATTAGTACTGCCACTATTTCCATGGTAACCTGCATAATTCTTGTGAAGAGATTCATCGTTCTGAGGATGGAGAGTATTTGGCTGATGTGATGGGGAATTAAGAGTTTGAACATCTAAATGAAGGTGGAACCTGGGAGGAAGAGGACCCTGAGGTATTATGAAAGATTGTGTTGGCTGCCATTCAGGCCTAAATTGAGGAACCGACTGGTTCCAAAATTTAGAATCTTCTTGCCAATTAAAATGATTCTCAGTTCTCTGGCCATTTGTTTCATCGTCAAAACATTTGGATTCCCTGTCTGTTTTCTGGCCACTTGATACATTATAGAAACATTGTCCAGTATCAGAATATAATTGTGTTCTACTGTACCAGGTATCTTGTTCATCCTCATGAGATGTCTGACTGTATCTATTACATGATATAAATTGTTCCTGAGACGAATCAGTTTCTTTGTCCTGTGAGTTACCTTCTAACTCATCTTTATCGCTTTCAAGCTGTTGAATTTCTTTATAAAATTGGCACAATTCATCATCTATTTCTGATATATCACAAGAGAGTGTCTGTATTTTCTTTGCTTTCTTTTTGTTAATTCTGCTGTCAAGTACAGCCTTTTGTTTCTCTCTGATTGTACTAAATTTAGTGAAATTCATAGTTTCATTCTGTTTGTTCTCCTCCATTGGTCTATAAATGGGACCAATAAATGTTTTGCTTGTACTATATTCTTCATTCTCCACCTCACCTCCATTTATTGTGAATGATTTATTGCTAGTTTCTTTATTAGCTTCATCAATTTTTTCAGAAATGAAAGGGCATATATTTTCTGTAATCTCACTGTCTTTTACGGGAAGATTTACACTCTGAATGATCTTTGAATGAGTAGACTCAAAAATCCCTGGCCTATTACCAGCATGTTCTTCACTGGATGTTTCCAAGATATCTGTACTTTCATTCTCTTTCTGCTCCAATTCCTGTTTTCCTTGGTCATCAGAGATGCATAAAGGTGTCTGTTGATTGTTTGTTTTCTCAGTGTCTGTTTTCACATGAGATTCCTGGAAACTACCAGCACAGGATTTATCATGAGCTTCTCCTGCTGATTTCATTTTTTTATAACATGGTTGAACTGCCATTTCATCTTGACATTCCAAAGGCCTTACTTTACATTCAGCATGAAGCATCTTAAAGAAAAAAAGCAAGAATACACTTTTGCAATATATTATGTAAAATTAGAATTTTAACATCAGAATTCATCTACCATCACAGTTACAATAAGTTAGTTATTCATTTAATCAAATGAAACTTCTTTTATAGGCTACTGTAATTTAGGTTTTAAATAAAAGTTACCTATTTCGGTAGGTTTATAATAAACATTATTTTAGTGCAGAGATTTTCTTGTATTTCAGTGATTTTTTTAGCAATTCATTATTTGTGCCATTTTTTAAAAAGTGAATTTTGTGTTTCAGAAATATATGATAACAGGAGCCTGAATACTGGAATTCTCTAGTTATCTACATTAGGGATGTCAGATAGCATGTAACTGAACTGTTGTGTAATTGCATCAGATTTTAATGGTTACATGACTATTTGATAGTCCCCACTCCTGAGGAGCTCCCTAGCATCCTATGCTGCTGCCTCTCTATCAGGAGCAGCAGCGCGGGGTCGCAGGCAGGAGGCAATCTGCAAGGGGAGCTGATTTTAAAACCAGTTTCCTGTGCAGACCTGCTCCTGCCTGCCACCTCTGCTGCTGCCTCTGATAAAGATAAAGAGCTCCAAGCTCCCTGTGGACAAAGTCTGCTCTGCGGTAGCAGCCCCTGTCCACGGGGAGGTGAGACCCTCATGGAAAGGGGATGCTGGTACGGATCAGCTTCTGTCCACAGCAAGCCCGGGCCTGCCATGGACAAAAGCTAACCTGCACTCCCCCTCGCACTGCTGCCTCTTATAGAAGCAGCAGTGTGGGGGGCAGCAGGCACCACTGTAGAGCCCCCAGCACTGGCTCCTGCCCCCCACATTGCCTCAGTAGGAGGCAGCAAGCGGAGGAGCAGGTGGGTCTTTGGAACCAGCATGCCTCACCCTCCCCGCTTCTGCCTCTCTATCTTCCATCGACTACTCCATTAGTCAATAAGGGAGGGAAACTGCAGTGGGGTTAGATATCTACACATTGACATCACTAAACCACAGTACAGGTTCAGTGTGGGCATTAACAATGCAATTACTTACACCAGTGGTGGGCAATCTGCAGCCCAAGAGTCACATGTGACCCATCAAGGTTGTGTGTGTAGCCCACAAAACTTTTTGTTTACCATTGGTCATGCACAACATTGGCAGATACTGCTGGTTTCGTCCATGTAATTTTTTTCCTACATGTATTACTAAAGTGACAAATAAGTAAAGCAGGGGCACATTAAATGAGGTGTGTGCTGATTGCCCACAACACTGTGAGAGCCGTGCACTGCCTCTGCATCCAATCAAAGCACTGCTACAGTTCAATTGGCACTAGGAATATAAGTGACTAGTCAATTACCTGATAAATATATGCTTATCCAATACTAGAGAAGTGACTCAACTAATTGCTTCCCCCCACTTGCTGCCTCTATCAGAGAGAGACAGCAGGGGAGAGGGGGAGGAGCTGGTGCTGTGGGGAGCTGGTTTAAAAGCTAGTTCCCCCCAGCATCATCTGGTGGGACAGGGGAGGCAGAAGTGCAGTGGGGGACTAGGCTGATTCCCAGCTCGCACTCAGTCCCAGACACTGTGCCTGTGCTTTTTAAATGTATTAAGAGCCTGGCGGTTAGCTCCCCGCAGCTCTTAATACATTTAAAAAGCAGAGGTACAGCAGGGATAGGTACCGAGAGCGAGCTGGGAATCAGCTGTCCCAGCTTGTGCCCAGTCCCCCCACAGCACATCTGCTTTTTAAATGTTTTAAGTGCCACCAGGAGCTAACCCCACTGCAGCACTGCAGTTTCCTTCCCTTATTGACCAATGGAGTAGTCGATGGAAATTCCATTGACTACTTGATTAGCTGATTACCCACAATTTAACATCCTTAATGGGCACTCCCCACAAGTTCTAGGCATGCAAGCACACTTAGTGATGTTACCCTGTCCTGGGAAACTGTCTTGGTTACAACAGTCTTGCAGCTCACTGAGACAGATAACCACTCATTTACTAGCCTAGGTTGCCTATGGCTGACTTACACCATTACTCTCAAGCTTCATTCTTTTTTCTCCAGGGATCACCCCCTAAAAATTAGATAGCAAATGCCTGTCCTGAGTTAATGATTGACCTCTACTCAGACTGCCACCAAAATGCTACTTAGAGCCACTGTGATATGCATTGGACTATTTCAACTCATAGCCCAAACACCTATTAGATGTCAGTTATTAATCAATACTAAACTAATGTTTTAATTTTTCTATCTAATCTAGTATTATTTATATTACCATAGCATCTGGGAGCCCCAGCCCTGGCTCAGGAGCCCAGCGTAAGAGGCCACTGTATAAACGTGGAATAAAAAGACTGACCCTTTCTCAAAGAGTTTACAGGCAAAGCGGGGTAGGCAATAATTTTTGATGGGAGGGCCACTCCAAGATTTTGGAAAGTGGTCGAGAACCACACTCTTCCATTATATTAATGGAGGAGATGCGGAGTCTGGAATGGAGGTTGGGAGCAGAAAGGAGCTTGGGGTAAGGTACTGGGGTGCAGGAGGGAAACTGGAGTCTGGGAGGGAGTTGGGATGAAGCAGGCAGTTGTGACCTAGGGCATGGGACTGGAGTGCAGGGGTTTGGGATGTGATCTGGGGAAGGAGACTGGGATGCCAGATGTTGGAAGGGATAAGAGTGGGAATGTGGTGGGGGTGAGGTGGCTCCTAATCCACCCCCCACCCCCAGTTTTAAAACAGAAATGGAGCCCTGCAGCCGCCTTTCTGCATGGCAAGCTGGAGACCCTGCCTGGGGTTCCCCACTGCCTCTGCAGGCCAGATCCGATGGCTTGGCAGGCCAGATTCGGCCCATGGGCCGGATTTAGCCCAGGCCTGGGCTAAGTACAACACAAGACAAAATATATGGTTACAGGCAGATGGAAGGGTACAATGGCACAATATTAAGATACCATAATAGGCAGTGGTTTCCAAATGCCATTATCATTCCTTTTAGTGTCATCAAGTCACCTGCATATTAAGTTACTCAACTCAAAAATACATCGCCTTTCATGGCATTCCAGAGGTACACAGAGAAGATGGAATGCAGTATCAAGTAAACTGCCTTTCAAAAGACAAGACTCATGCTTTGGTTTGAAATAAGGTAATACATACATCAGACAAGATGATAAATAATAAAATTTCCAGCTTCATATTCCTGCTAGAGGGTTAATTCTACTACAGATTGAACCTCTCTAGTCTGGCAACATCTAGGTCTGGTATAATTTTAGTTAGTTGGAGGTCCACAAATCATGGGTATGGCCAAGTTTCCCATGGTCTCATAAAGTTTGTTTACAGACACCAATCCTGGTTCTCAGGGTTCTGTGAAGTAATTTTGCTTTAATTTACCACTAAATGCCGTCTAAAAACCCAATAAGCGGTGGAAGTGCTGATAATTCTGCTATACAATATTGTCCTGTGATTCAGCAAATTCTCTGGGTCGTATTTGTCAGCTCCCGAGTGCAGCACTAGACAGGCTCAGTAGTTTACAGTAGTGTCTGTAACCTATTAAACTTCTAAACTTTGGAAAGTTACAGGTATCTAATAACTGAACTAAAATACAATTATTTGTAGGGAGAGTGAGATTCCTTTATTTAAACATGTACTTTTAAGACAGTTTTTATAGATTCATCTTCCATTTACAGAAAAAAATGCTATAAGTGAGCAAGGTTAGCCACTTCCCTCCTGCCCCAATATGGAAATAAGAATAATTTTGCTATTTGCCTATTACTCTCTGCTCTCAACAGGTCAGAAGAGAACTTTGCTGCTTTCTGTTTTCTGAGTTCCTCTGGGAATAAGACTGAATTGGAAAGAAATGTTGTCTCTCCTCTCTTAGAATGCAGTTACTGTTAGCAAGTGAGCCTGTGCATCTTTGTCTCCCCAACTGTCACCCATGCCACAACCCCAACTTCAATAATGATATGCAGAATGTTGCTCCGTGTTATAAACTATCTCCCCACGTTTCTAGAACAGGAGTGGAAGATGTTTCTCTCTCAAGAGTGTGAGGTATTGCTGTGTGTGTCACAGTCTCTCCCCTCTCCTTGGGGTGGGTTGGATAGAAAATGTTATTGTGAGTCTGTCAGTCTCTCCAGGATGGGAAGTTCCACTGTGCATACAAGACAGTATCTCTCACTATGTTGAACTGATGGGTAATGATGTATTTGAAGTTTCTACCCTCTCTCAGGGTGGGTAATAGGGGGTGATGCTGTGTGTGTGAGACATTATCTCCCTCTGTTCAGGGGATGCATATGTTGATGTGTGTGTCCTAACACATCCTTTATGGGCTGAGGTGTTGCTATGGGTGACAGTCTCTCTCTCTCTCTCTCTCTCTCTCTGGGTGTTGTTATTTTGTGTGTAACAACCTCTCTGTTAGTTGGGGGTTGTTGCTGTGACGGTATCTCTGGTTTAGGGGAGATAGGGGGTGGGTGGGTGGGTGTGAGAGAGAGGCTGTCTCTGGGATGGGATGTTGCTTGCTGTGTGTGCGTGTGTGTGTGTGACAGGCTGTCTCTCGGCAGGGGGGGTTGCTGTGTGTATTTGTGACAGGCTCTGGGCTGGAAGTGTTACTATGTGTGTGTGAGAGAGAGAGAGGCTGTATCTGGGTTGGGATGTTGCTTGCTCTTTCTGGGCTGGGTGTTTTGTTGGGGGGGGTGTGTGACAGGCTCTCTCTGGGCTGGGAGTGTGTGTGTGTGTGTGTGTGTGTGTGTGTGTGTGTGTGTGTGAGAGAGAGAGAGAGAGAGAGACTCTCGCTGGGGTGTTACTTGCTCCGTGTGTGTGACAGGCTCTTTCTGGGCCGGGGATGTTGCCTGGTGGGTGGGTGGGTGCGTGTGTCTGTCCTGTAAGTAACAGGGTCTCTCTGGGCCGGGGATGTTGCTGCTGACTGGGCCCCGGCCACCCTGCGCGCCCCACCCCGTTCCAATTGCCCCATCGTGGCACCCCCCCGCCCCAGCAAGCCGTTCCGGGGGGGCCCTCCCTCCCTTGAGCGTCCTCTCGCACACCCGGCGAGGAGCCCGCCCCCATCGCATCACAACCGCGGCTGGGTGAGAGGACCAACCTCTGGGCAGAGACACCAACAGCTTTTCGCGGCCCGGCCGTCGGCTCGCAGCAGCGCAGTCCCTGGCAGTGGGGGGGAGGGGCGCCCGTTCAGCTCTTCACTCCCAAGATGGCGTCTGCTCCCGCAACAGCAGCACCGGGGTGAACGCGCCCATTCTGAGGCTTCGAACTACCATTCCCAGAATGCCTTGCGAGAGCCCCTTCCGCCACAGCTTGGGCGGGAAGCTGCGCTGAGCAGGAGAAGGGCTGTAAGGAAGGGTAGGCAGCGGCTGGCTGCACGTTGTGCCCCGTGGCGAGCTGGGAAGGAAGTCCCTGGCAATTGGGGATGACACGGTGATGATGCCTGGTGCATTGATGAATCACAAGGAGACCCCTGCATTGGGGATATCGTAACACGTGACAGGCGGGCACGTGCAAGGGACATTCTTACCTTTTGTTGGGAAGGGGGCGCTCCCCTTGTTCTGGAGGGGATGTGATACCCCTGTTTGGCAGTTGGTTTTTAGGGTCATTCTTCTGGTCTCACTCTGAATGATCTGTTTGCTGGTAGGAGAGATATTGCTGCATGTGTTAGCTGTTACTGTCTTTTGTCTCCTTTCCCTGAATGGTAGGAAAACGTCAGTGAGAGTTTTAGGGAGTGGGGCAGCACACAAGCAACTGTGATTTCTTTAAATGATAAATATTAAAACGTTAGAAAAATAAAAACCTTTTTGGATGTTGAAAACGTGGGTCATGATTGATGGTCACTTGCTGAAGGTTGCAGACTATTTACTTACAGTCACACTTGGAAACAGTTTCAGATTTGTAGTTGCTGTAGTTTGGTATTGCTTCCTAAAACTCTTTAATGCTGGATTATTTTTCTTAACAAACTACAGTGGTGTGGATCCTGACTAATAACAGTTCTGCCAATATGAATTTGAATTAATAGTACAATTCTCTTCATCTTCCCCCACTCCCACTGGCTGTTTCTATATTCAGCAGACTAACTTCGGTTTATTGTGCAAACATAATACGCTTTCCTTAGTAGAGAGTTCTGAGATTCAAAGAATTTGTTTTTCTTTAGCTTGCATTTATCTTGTACTAAAACAGATTATATTGCCTCTCATACATATTTTTCTGAATTGTTTCTCTTTTGCTATTTGTGAAAAGGTTGATTTTTCTGATCCTAGTCTCTTGCCACACTCCTAACATTTTTAGAACATGTAATGAACAAGTCTTGTATGCTCTCACAGTTCCCTACAATGGGTTACTAGAAATCAATTATGAGTGATCATACTTCTTTTTCAATACATTTACAGTCACCCCATATCCTCAGCTCATCTGAACAAAAGCCCCAGGCAAAAACTGTAAATTTTCACAGCTACTTACTCACCCCAGAACATACAGCTGGGATCTACTTCTGCAGCACTAGGAAAAATAAAGATAATCTCTACAAATTAACAATTTTGGTATTAAAAAGTTAAGGGTGTAGCATCCTCAAATCCTGAGGCTAGCTCTCTCCATAATGATTAGATTAGGATGACAGGAATCTTCCCTCAAATCCTGAGGCTAGCTCTCTTCATAATGATTAGATTAGGATGACAGGAATCAATTATCTACTATGTATCTGAGAGAGTCTGTCTATCCATCTGTTTGCCCAAGAACTCTTGCTAAATGGTAAGAGTTAGGAACACCAATTTTGGTATACAACTTCCTCTTATCATAACTTAAAGCAAAATAAGGGGTTAGTTGTGTCGGAGTGAAGGGCTCTTCCCCTGCTCTCACAATCTGTACAGGGCCGCATAAAACCATGCAGAAAAACAAAATCACCAAGCAGGTGAAAGGGGCACCGCTCCTGTCCAGGACTGCCCCAGTCACAAGCCTCTCCCACCCCCAATTTATATTATACAGGAATATTGTTGTTTGTCCCTCTTTACTAGGAAGCAAAGGGAAAGTGCACAGTTTACACCCATTCTTCATCTGGCTGGGGAGCACGGGGCAGATTAACCTGGCCCTGGCCCAAATGGGGGACATGCACCCTTCCCCCAGCTGTACCTGCTGGAGTTGTAGCAGCCATGGACAGGCACTTCTCACATGGTCCCAAACTGCTGTGGTGAGAGGACTGGGGTGGTCATCTCTTCTCCCAGGAAGCCTGCATACTGAACCCCTAATTCTCAGCCTCACCCCAGAGCAATGATTTAAATAAAGAAAAACAAAAATTGACTGAATTAAGAACCCAAGCAACACCAGGTAAATCTTTTAGTATTTTAACATGTGACCAAAAAATAATATTCTGACCCATCCAGAATCCTAAATCGATTCTACTACTAAGAAGTGAATCACCAAATTATTAAACTGTTTAGTATAATAGCTTGTGGTAATTGTCATCTTCAGCTGGATTTTAACCACTGACTTGGCTGTGAACAGTAACCATTTGTATTACTAATCCCCAGGTTTATCCAAGCCCTTAAATAGGGTTATAACTCTTTTAAATGGGTTTAATTTTTTGTTAGACATTTATTTTAATTTTTCAGCAAAATGTTGTGTAGATAATTTCTATTGTGTTAAGTCAATTGAGACAAATAAAAGCCAGATAAACAATTATAAATAATGTGTTTATAAAAATTATTGACCAAATTTTGGTCCCGTTGACTTAAACTTGAGTTTTGCTATTAATTTTAGTGGACTTGGATTTGGCACAAAAGTAGAAAGGATGCCATACATCGGTCTTAAAGATGCACGCACAATGAAAAATACATTTATAGAAACAGAAACTCTTTTTTTAACTAACCAAGAAACAAACTTACCAGATATTTAGTGAGTCCAGATTTATGTAAGTATAGCTGATAACAGAATTTCTCCAGAGAAGGGACCATTTGCATCACAGGAATTGGGAAGGTCAAACACAGACTATTATTTATAATGATAAAGATAATAACTGTCATAACACATCGTCATATTCACTGATTACAGTGGATGAGGACAGAAAATTCTATTACTACAGGGCTCTTTAAGCTAGTGGAGAAAAACATAACCATTGACTGGAAAATGAAGCCAGAGAAATTCAAATAAGGCACAAATTTTTAACAGAGAGGATGATTACCCATTGGGACAAACTACCAAGATAAGCAAGTAATTTTCCAAAGCTGAATGTCTTCCTTTTGAGAGCCTTTCTGAAAGATGTGCTGTAGTCAGACATAAGTTATTGGGCATAAAACAGCAGTAAGTGAGTGAGATGTAATAGACACATCTGATGGTCCTTTTTGGTCTAAAACTCTATGAATCTGTGAAAAAGCTTGTTTAGCATCAAAGTCATTTAAACAAGAATAGTTTATAATCTTTTAAGGAGAAAGGTTAATGGGCCACATCCTCAGCTGCCTGCAAGGAGCACATTATGTAGAGTTGGAAAAATTGATCCGTATAACACGTTTTCACTTAACACGATCATTTTCTGAAACATATCTATAGTGTTAAATGAGGAATTACTGTACAGTGTTAATAGTTTTTCTCTAAAACCCTGGAAAGCTAAAAGATTATTCAACATAGTTCAGTTTACTAAGATCCTGATCCTGCAAAGATTTTTGCATGTACTGTAATGAGACTACTAACAATGCATTGAAGTTATTATCATGGATGGCATATATCACAGGCCAGGGCAGGATAAATCTTTCCTGACAGGGTATAGCCCTGCCCATGTTGCACTGATATCCCACCCTCTCTCTTCATCTGAAGCTGGCAGGGTGTCAGGGGCTCAGCTCCAGCTGGGATCCCTGAGCTTGGGTTCACCAACAGCCAGTGGTGGCTTAGGGCAGCGCTGGGACCTGTGGGTGTGGGGTGGGGGAGGAGTCAGCCCAATGTCTCAGCCTGGACCTGGTGCTGGCTTGGAGGAGGTCTGGCAGCTAAGCCCAGCACACTTGGGGTGCTGGCAAACTGGGTTCCTTTGGCTATGTGGGGGGACACTTGGGGTTCCAGTGGGCAGGTCCTCAAGCAGAAGCGGGTGTTCACTCAACCTGCCAGGTGTCTGGTATTGATCCAGACAGTCCGGTATTTTCTCCTCCTGTCTGGTAAAAAAAATAAAAAATACCGGACACCTAAAATGTCTGGTATTTTCTGATTTTTTTTCCCAACCAGGAGGTGGAAAATACCAGACACCTGGCAACCCTAGCGCCTGGGCCCAGGCCCAGGCCCAGCCCCCGGCCTCTCCCCAGGCCCCAACACCCCCCAGTCCCTGCCCCTGGACCCTATGCTTACCTAGTTCCGCAGGGAAGCTAAGTTCTGGCTTGAACAAGAACACAAAATGGCCTCCAGCAAAAAGCCTAAAAACCAAGGGGAAGCAATGCCTTCCCTGGGTCTTAGTGCTCAACTGCTCCCCTGTTCCTATCCCTATTCTAACTCTGTACTTACTCTGAAAGGGGCCATGCTGTTTTAATACTATGTTATTTATTTATTTATTAATAAGTCTCGGAGTCCTTTTTTTTCTCAACAACTGTGGTTCTCCCCCGCTTTTCCCCCCCAGCAGAATTTTTCCTCCGGTGTTTTTTTGGGGACGGTGAGGGGGTGTTCGATATTTTTGGTTCAACCATCTGGCAACAGGTGTTCGGGTATGTCTACACTGCAAATTAAGGTGTAATACAAGTTGAACCCCTGTGGTCCAGGACTCTCTGGTCCAGCAGTATCCATGGTCCAGCATTTCCCTGTGTTTATCAAAAACCCGGTATCTTGAAAGGCTTTTATGATCTTCTCTAGTATTATCAGGTTTTGCTCTCACTGGCCACGGTTACAAGGATATCATCCACATATCACAATATCTGGTGATTGTCTTCCAATGTTTTACACATAACATACACCCTGCAATGACAAAGGGTGAAGCTGTTGTGTAATCCTTGGGAAAGGTAGACAGCCCCTGTGCTTTTAGACAGCAGTCAAACAGCCCTTGTGCTATTAAGGAGGATGAAAGGCTCAGGGAAGAACAGTCAACTGGATCAGAGGAAAATGATCCCATAGTTGGAACTCTCTTTCCAGAGGATGTTATGGTACCCTCTCACCCTGAGGATACATTTCTGGGGAAAGGAACTCCAGTCATTAGGAAAAGGCAAGTGTTAGTAATGGGGAATTCGATCATTAGAAATACAGATAGCTGAATTTGTGATGACCGTATTGTGACTTGCCTGCCAGGATTGAAGGTTGTGGATCTCTCAAGACATCTAGATAGAGAAATATGTAGTGCTGTGGAGGAGCTGGTGGTCGTAATACATGTAGGCACCAATGACATAGGGAAGGGTAGGAGAGAGGTTCTTCAGGCCAAATTTAGGCTTTTAGGAAACAGATTGAAATCCAGGACC